TCTCATGATGTTTCTGTGCAGACTCTCATGATGTTTCTGTGCAGACTCTCATGATGTTTCTGTGCAGACTCTCATGATGTTTCTGTGCAGATGATGATGCTGCATCTCTCACCAGGAGTTCTTGGAGTTGACCGTAGAGACGGATGCGGAGCAGCCCCTCCCTCCTCCGAAGGACGTAGCCAGGAAACTGAGATCCCAGGCCATCCAGGCGGTCCAGTCCTGGCACTCCTCCTATGGTTCTGCATACAAGAAGCTGGCACTGGGCTACCACTTCCTCAAGCAGGTTAAAAAGGTCAGAGGGATACAAATATCCAAATACATGACGTTACATCAGTTAGAACAGCATTCAGAGAGCCGCCTCAGTCACATTTATGACTGATTTAATCATACATCTCTTGATATGTTGAATGTAGTCCATGTGGAAACATGTTAAAAGCTGAGCTGTGGTCTATAAAGATACATTCATCCTGGCTCCACTGCTGCATCAGGTCAAGTCTAATTTATTTATAAAGCACATTTAAAAACCAACAGGATGTTACCGAAGTGCTGAACAATAAAAAGGCAAAAAATGTCATGAAAAACAACAAAACAAATGAATTCAAATAAAAAAATTAAACAAAGAACATGGAACAATAAAAGACTAAAATTAAGTTAAATAAAATAAAGATGTTTTAATAAAGTCCCTGGAGCAGGAACTGTTAGGTTTTAAGTCAGGTCAATCTGACACCCGTCAGCCTAATGATGAAAGGACAGACCATGTTTCCTCACAACAGACCCCAGAGGAAGAGGTACACTGAGAACATTGTTTGGACCAAATATTTACACTGCAGACATCCAGTCACAGCTGCAGCTACGATCAGTTTTAGCTGCTGGTTTCTGTCTGAACCGTGTGTGTGTTCAGGTGGACTTCCAGGATGCCGAGGCCAGAACCATTACTGAGAGGAGGAGGCAGGAGGAGAGAGACCTCAAGATGGAGAGGATCTACAGAGCCAGAGTGGAGGCAGCAGCTAAAGAGATGGAAGGTGACCTCACCACAGCTAAAACCAGCTGCAATCTGCCAAGTTCAGTCAGTTAACATCAGCTGAAACCATCTATTACCTGCTAATATCATTCAGTTAATATCAGCTGAAACCATCTATTAACTGCAAATATCAGTCAGCTAATATCGGTCAGCTGATATCAATCAGCTAATATCAGTCAGCTAATATCAGTCAGCTAATATCAGTCAGCTAATATCAGTCAGCTAATATCAGTCAGCTAATATCAATCAGCTAATATCAGTCAGCTAATATCAGTCAGCTAATATCAGTCAGCTAATATCAGTCAGGTAATATCAATCAGCTAATATCAATCAGCTAATATCAGTCAGGTAATATCAGTCAGGTAATATCAGTCAGCTGATATCAGTCAGCTGATATCAGTCAGCTAATATCAGTCAGCTGATATCAGTCAGCTAATTTCAGTCAGCTGATATCAGTCAGCTAATATCAATCAGCTGATATCAGTCAGCTAATATCAATCAGCTGATATCATTCAGCTGATATC